AATATTGATAAATAAAATTATTAAGATTTTTTTTTCTACATAAGAAATTTTTACAGTACATATGGTTTATGCATTTCATTGTTGAGAAATTAGAGTTGATTTTATGCTCCGTATAGACCAGCCTATTGTGAAGTGTGATAATATGTTGTAGAAACAATAGATCCTCAATAGCTGTAGATAAAGATGCAACCTATATTTCATTATTGAAAGGGTACAGCTCTATGTCATGAATTTCCGACATTCAAAACATATTATTTTAAAAACACCACGATAGTTTATGCCCTCATAAGCAGTATTAACAGAAAGACACCGAATTCCCCCGTCCAGATATATTAACAACAATATCGCATTTATGATTAGAGAAAAAAGCAATAAGTCTAACCAGCAATTCCATGAGAACTCTTAATTATCGTGCCCAGCCAGTGCAAGGAGAAATTTCTCGTAATCTCCAGAAGTGTCATTAGCTATTGCACGGTCCAGAGGAATGCTATTTCTTCTTTGGTATTCCTCACCAACTCGCTGCAAATCAACCTCGGCTCTGGTTGCCACCACTCTAGTAAGGGCCCATTCATCAGTTCCCAGTTTGTTTATAGCAAGCCTCAAGACTTTGGCAAAATATTTCTCAGGGAATGTCAAACACTTAATGGCAGCCCTCAATAATTTCAGATATTCATCTTTCGGATCAGTTTTCAGATCCTGTAGACATAAGCGAATTGTTAGTTCAACAACAAGCCACTGATTAATCTTATAATAATCACTTAATGACAATTTCTATCTTGTCTTTATATATTTTCGTTTTGAAGTAATCCCAGAATATTGTCCTTTTAAATGTAGTAATCGATGCATTTACTAAATAAAATTATAACAGGAAATCATGTTTCTTAAAGTGAACAGTAACATTGTCGTCAACAAAAGTTCAGCACTGCAGTTGATACTAGAATTGATTCATACTCGGCCAGGTCGTCTATACCTTGTTTATGGCATTCCCGAACTCATCTTTGTAGTGATTTAGAGTTGCTGCTAACTGTGCTCTACTCCTTGTTGACAAAATCCTGATCAGTTCTTCATCATTGTAGGCCTTATTTGAAATCTTCTCGTGAAGCAGTTTAGCCTCAGATTTTGCCAGTGTCATGCTCACCTCCTCCCCCTCATAACGGTATGTGCTCACAAGAGGAACCAATAGCTGTTATTATCAAAAACAAAGTTTCATCAGGTAATGGAAAAAAAAAATGTCTGAAAAGAATTGTTAGATCCCGTGCATGTCTCGAATCGCCTATTTTTTAAAGTTCGCTAAGTAACGTAGAAAAAGTTATCTTTGCCACAAAACACGCATCTTATACATGGCTTAGTAATGCATAAAGAAAAGGGGATTAGCTTTTAAATAAAACAATTCAACCGAATGGTTATATCCATATTCTAAAGGGGCACGTACTCATTATTTGGACGTAAATCTGGGAACACGTTTCCTAAACAAAGGTTCTCTTTTAAAAATACAAAAGGTTTATTTATTTTGGAAAAAACTGAATGATGAAGAAACAACATCTACCAGAGGCAACTTTTCCTATCAAGAGATAAACACGTACATTATAAAGTTAAGGTTTTACCTTGCGTATGTCCCCAGAAGTATAATAGGCAACATCTTCTTCAATGGACTTTTTGAAGCGGGATTGATATGCTTGCTTAGCTTTGAGGAGATCAATTGAAGATCTAGTGGTAGCAATTTCCAAAAGGACCCAATGACTGAAAGTCAACTTCTTAGTGGCTTCATTAGCTAAAAAGGCATCACGCTCAGCAGGATCCAGTGTCCACAACAGCACAATCCGCTTTTATGTTCACAACATCAAACATTAGACAAGAAACGAACTTCATTACTGCAACTACCAATTTCCTTTAATCAAGGTTATCCGTATACATAAAGAATGAAAATTGAAATGTGGGTAAAAGATGGTGAAATTGAAAGTTCTACGTTCTGACAAGTGAAATGTGCGTCAAATTATCAATTACCTAAAGAAACCAGATATCAATAGATTTAAACTGACCTCGAAGTCACTTGAAAGTTCTTTGTCTAGATCTTTAAGAAGATCTTCTCCATAGGCTACATTATAAGCTTCACGAATCAACTTACGCTGAACTGCATTTCTATGTGCCAGGATTGATATTATCAATGCTTCATTCGTTCCCCAGCCTGCAAAGATATGCCACAGTGACAATTTATTGGACAATGAAAACAAACTTTCTAATGAGAGAATAAAAGGGACTCATGCCACGATAAAACAAAGGAACAGAGTAAATTCCCTGATTTGTTTTAGCACCTCTGAATAATTCAAATTTCCAATTTCACAATGTATTAATTTTCTGTAATAGTAATCTGCACTGCACTTATTTTACTGACATTGAACACATACACAGTCACAGGTACAGAAACTACTATTTTTTTTTTTTATCAGCACAGAAACTAGAAAAAATACTTCATTTACACAGGTAGCTATATTACTTATTGTTAAGGACTTGTGTCAAACATGTGCATATGAAACCGTTCCATTGCACTTTGAAAACAAGAGTAGACAACCATCGGCAACCAAAACAAATCTGAATGATCATCATCGCTATCGAGTCAAATTTTGCAAACTAGTTCACGGTGAGCAAATTGAACCGTTGGATGAAGATCAAAAGGCTTGTATTATATATTAAAATGGAACTTAAAAACATTTTTTATTTGGAACAGAGGTGTCTGTATTCATCCAAATATCAGATCAACGGTCAAAGTTTGCTGACTGCAATGCATGTGTGAAAAACATGACAGCACGAAAGCTGTTCCAGCATTCATTCATTCACTCATGCATCAAGAAGCACAAATAATTAACAGTGACCCCATAAATCAAACATAGAACATGTAAAATTTGATCAGAACAGAAGCGTTACGATTTTAAAACTTGATAGATAATAAACCGAACACAGTCAGATCACGAAACAGCAAACAGTCGAATCCGGAGAGGATGTAGATCGAGAAGAAAGTGATACGCAGAGCGATGATCCATTAACAAAATGAAAATCAGTGAAATAAAAGAAAGAAATGAGCGAATGTAACCTTGAAAAGCTTTTCGCAATTGCTCACTGTCTTCGATGGAGGAGGAGAATTAGGAGGAACCTTCAACGTCGCCATTTTCGCTCACAATCTCTTCCCCAAGACAATGTGATATGATGCTGAAAATTGAGAGGAATGTGAGGAATTGTTACCTTCATTTATACCAAGAGAGAGCACGGAAACTATTGGCTTTGTAATGCCCTCAGGACAACACTCTTGGCTTGTGAAAACACATGTTCTATAATATAGACTGGAAAAAATAATTTACTTTATTCGTTTTAAAATATTAATATATCAATATATCAAATTAGCATTTGGCTTTAAAATTCTTTCTTTGGTATTTATTGATAGATAACGCATTACTTATAATTTAATATAAATAAAAAAGATAAAATATTTTATAGAAATAATTAGCATTTTTTCTCTAAAATGTATCTTATAATAAAATAACAAGTATAAACGGATTACTATTTAATAACATATAATTACTATTTTTAAAAACTGTACTGAAAATCCATTGACTCTTTTTTATATAATTTTTTGTATTTGTGTAGTACTATATAAAATTATAACTTTATTAAATGAATAATTTATGAGGGATTAGTAACTTTAGTAAAATATTCGCATCTTAAATTTTGTTTTCAAAACCAGCAGGACTTAAACTTTTGGATATCTTAAAAATTAGTTATATGTTCAATTTTTTAACATTTCCTTCCGTATTTATAATTTTATGTGTTATGAACCATGTAATGAGCCTTAATCTGTTACTTTCTCCTATATTCATTCCAACGCGTCTAACTATCGTAAATAGTTCTATCAAGTATGTAAACTGTATTATATTTCTATATTAGATACTTTATGATTATCATGTTTTTGGACATGGTCAAAATCGTATTCACAAAATTTCCTACATAAGATATAGTACGGTATCATAGCATTTTAATAATTAACAAACGATCCAATCCTCCATTATGTTAACTTGACTAGTGTTAATTCGATCCGGTAAGTGCTACCTGAATATTATGTTGTGCACGAATCACCAATATCGCAAATCATTCTTAATACTTATTAAAGATTATTCTCAGAGCTTGATAATACAAATACCATTTAGCATGAACCAATGTTGGTCGAACTTGAAAGTATAATGTGGAAATTGTGATTTTCAAGAATTTAAAGAAAATTATTGTCATAATCTATTATATAGTTCAATCGAGGAACAATTTGTGTTAAGTTCATTTATGAACTTTTGATGGTGGTGTGAACTAACAATCCAATAATGTTCGAATTGGAGTTAAACAATCTTGATTTTTCATTTTATCTCAATTTAATCTTGACTTAAAATTTTTATATTAATATTATAATATATATATAATAATTTTATAATTATTATATATTTCAAAGTTATTTTTTTAATTTTAATTTGAAGAAGATAATATTACTTTATTTAAAAAAAAATTGAAACTAAATTAAATAAAAAAATAAATATAGGAACTAATGTAATGTAACATTGTCTATGTAACAAAATAATTAAATTGAATCACTTATAAATGTCGCCAATGGAGAAGAAAAAAAATTGGAAAACCAACTTGAAATTTTCGACAAAAATGAAAAAGAAGGTAGAAACTAAAATTAATGTATATATTTTTAACTTGATTTTAATACACTTTTTGAGTATATAATTATAAATAGTGTTTCCAATTCTAGTAAAGTTGTTTAAAACTTTTGGCATTTTTTAGTTCAATCATATAAATGGTGATAACGAAAAAAATAAGAATCAAATATTGAATTATTAAAGCGGTTAATTTTTAATCTAAATTTAAATAAGATAATATTTTATTTGACACTGTAATCGTTACTAGTCTACAATGAGTACTTACCACTACCATTAATTCATATAAGATATTAATAAATCGTTTTAAATGTGCGCATCATCTTCTAACAACAATAGGGTTTCAAAATTCTGATCTTTTTCGTCAGCGGCTCCTTGAGCAGTTCACTTAGGTTTTGCTCACCCATTAGACGAAGTCACAGGTAAACTGTTTATTCTCTTTTTCGTTCCCTTCTTCTAATTTAGCTTTGGCCGCCGATTGAAGGATGATGTAGTACATCACTATTTGGTCGTGAAATCCACAAAGTGTGTTTTAATCTAATCCTAAACATTGCCAATTTTTTCAAGGTTTCTTTGTCAAATTTGTCTCACAGAAAATGCCCAAAATTGCTGTGAAATTGGTCTAGGAAATTAATAATGCAGTTTGCAGATTATTCATTGCGTTTATTGGAATTTTATATATATTCAGTGAATGAACATGTAATTGTTGAATCATTAGTAGAAGAAAGATAGTGGGGATTTTTACCTCAGTATACCCAAACCTCATACGTGTGAGTTTTACTGTTTTAATCGTGTCTTTGCTGCATGAGAAGGAATGCTAATAGTTTGTAGCATTCTGTACGACGAATTTCAAGATCGATTTGAACTATTTTATTTTCATAATATGATGTAGTCAAGAGACTTGTAACCTCTTCCCTTAAATCTCATTTATCCTTCCTTTTGAATGCAGTGATGGGAAAGATGGGCAAGAAGAATAGGAAAAAATCTGGAGGGCATAGTTCTCCAAGAGAGCATACGGATATGCGGGACCAAGAGATGGATATAAGGAAGATTATGAAAGATGTTGAAAATTTTAGTAATGTCCATTTTCCTTCTTCATTTGGCTTTCTTTTCTTTTACATGAATCTGGTCTGTATCTTTTCTTTGCATCTGCTTTCTGTTGTTGAGGCGTATTGAATATTCAATCCAATAGAAACACTGCATTATGAAAAGTTAATGACTATGTTCTTGCTTATTAGGATAATATTTATATTTTTATATAGTTAGATGGATTTCTTTACTCGGCTGTGATGCTGCTTGATTCTTGAATAGCTGTGCAATGCATACTTTGTTGCTGAACTCTTTGATTTTAAAGCACTGTATTGATTTATACGCTGACACTGATCTCATAGTTTAGAAGCTTAGTGTCATTTGAACAGGTGACATTGTATTGCTGAAGGAAATTATGTATTGTTATTGTATGTTTCAATTAATATTTGGTTTAGGGTTTTGGAAGTTCATGGAGGAGTAAGTAACTTGTAAAAATTCTTAATTTTGTTAGTCAAGGAATTGACTTTCATGGGTATTCATATCTTCTCCTGTGGTTTGTTCTCCTTCCGTTAAAGTCTCCTCTTTTTTGCGAAACATTAGTTACTCTTGTTGAGAAAATATTCAAACCTAAACTTTTGATTACGGATACGTGACAGAGGGTTTCAATTCTCTTAGCTAACATCCTATGAACAGGGCTAGCATGAAACATATGTTAATTTTCAGTAGTTTATGACTGACATCTTTTTTAACCAGCCCAGGATGATTTAGAGGACTTGAATTCCATGGTTAATAGACAGTTGTGTAAGTGTTGAGGTATTCTGTTGTTTATGGAAATATAAGAAACGCTTCTTAGAAAATGTTTGCTCCTTTATTTTAATTTTGGGTGGTTAGAGCTGAAAAATATTATGGTAACCATTCCAAGTTCACCTGGTGTTTTTTGCCTTTCCATTATGTCTAGCAAATAAGATGGTGCAGTTGCTTCTCATAATGGCTGCTAATTATCGTATTTTGCAGGTTACTCACATATGACATGGAAAGAACGCAAGAAAATTGAAGATAGAAATATTGTTTCTCTTGGTGGAAAGGTGAAGGATATTTTTTATATTCTATTTTGATCAGCATGTGTCAATCCAAATAGTATTACAAGGATGCTCGGTAAACAAAATTCTTAATTTTTATCATATGTAGGCCCCCAAGAATCAGAGATTACCTTTAAGTGTGGCACGGCCAATGATGAAGAAACAAAAAGAGAGGGAGCATAAAAATGCTCAAGAGGGTAATTAATTTCTATCATTCCCCACTTTTATTTTGTGCCCTATTGGATTTTTTGTCGGTCTCTTACTGACATTATTCATGTATGATATGTACTACTGTGACTTTTAGCGTTTGATTATGGGACAATTTGGGGGAAAGCTCGGAGGTAGCAGTAAGAAATCAGCTGTGAAGCACAAGCCCGAAAACAAGGGTTTGAAGTTGAGTGAAGGTCATTTTAGAAATGGCATACTCAACGTGAAGCATTTGTTGAATTCGGCCCCACCAAGAGATCGTGAAACTGGAACCAATTAGTCCAATACATGGAAAGGGAAAGGTGGTAAAAAGAATCATGGTAAAAAAGGTTTTCGGCAAGAAACCCCGTTGAGTACATCCTTTTTGATTAAGGTTATAAATCTAACATGTTACTGGTGTAAGCCTTTTGCATAGTACACTAGAATTCAACAGAACAGAGGGCAGGAACATGACAATGATGTCTTGTGTATTATTGTAATTCAAAACTGAACAAGATCTTGTGTCTTGTTTTCCGTTTTTGTGCTTATCTTCCATAAAGTGGTATGAAATATAATATCAATAACAGATCATAGCTGCTTTTTCTTTACATTTGATCTCCTACTCGTACCATATTATTTATTTTTATAATTATTCTGATCTCAAGTTCATTAAGCTATAGTTAAGGTCACTTCATGGTATTATTATTCGTTTTGAAACCTACAACTTTTTCATGGTTTTTGCATTAGAAGGTGACTTAAAGAGTTAGAAGAGGAATGTGTATTTAAATTGTTTTGATTTTAACTATAACTTCAATTGAGGGATAAGGAAATGAAAATGATATCTAGAACTTCTTTTTCATTGGAAATGAAGGTTCGTTTTTGGAATCTTGTTTTTATTTTCATAAATGGCATCAATGTGTACTCATCGGTGAGAATGTTTAGCTATCTATTTCAGTAAAGGTGTTCTTCAATTGAAGGCTTCTTTTTTCATTCTCTTAAGAAACGAAGGTTCGTATTTGAAATCTTGTTTTTGCTTTCTTAGATGACATCAATGTGTACTTATTGGTTTGAACGTTTAGGTATTGATTTAAGTGCCTAGAGATCGTGTAACAAGGAGTATACTAATATGAGTTCTTAAACGCCGTATTTGTCGTGTACTGTCATAATTCTGGAAAACACCTACATACTGATCAGAAATGTTTTAATTTCATATCTTAATAGATCTTTAGACATATATATTATTGTTTAATGAACAAATATATTAGCTATAAAATAGAAAGATAATTTAAAGTTATAGATATTTGAATATTCTGGTTTGAAGTTATTTAAACTTTAAACAAGAAGAATTATCATAAAAGATATGTACCCAAGGAGAGGAGGTGATATTGTGTCTGTGTTCCCCACTAGTGGAAATACTAGTGTTTTTTTTTTATTCTAGAAAAAGTTTATTAAATTATGAAATATTTTTTATTAAAATAATTAGAAAAATAAATCATTTTTATTGTTAATTTTTTTATTATAAATAATTATTTAAATTTTTAAAAAATACTTATTAAAATGATAAAATAGTAAAAGAAATTATTTTAATTATAAAATAATTAAAATATATATAAATTGGTAGTCAATATTTATTTTCCTTTAATTTTATTATAATCACCTGATTTGTTGAAAAAATATTTAAATCAAATTCACTGAAAATAATTACTATATATATATAAATTGTAAGTAACTTTTTAATAGTTAATATTTATTTTCCATTAATTTTATTATAATTACCAGATTTGTTGAAAAAAAGTAGTTAAATGAAATTCACTGAAAATAATTACTAGATATTCATGAGTAATTTATCTTGATATCTATATTTTCCATACCAACAAATAAACAGTTAATATGTTCATACTTGTTTTTTAAATATCCACTGAATATATCTTTGAAAGATTATAATCACAAATATATACGATTTTCTTTTTGTCATTCCAAATGATCAATTACCAATATATTACATTAGGAGGTAAAAACATTTTGATCTATTGTCTTTGTAATAGGCAAGAAATTACAGGAAAATGAATAATAATTAGTTTAATCTTTTCTAGACGTTGAAAGACTGAAATATGGACATATATTAATTATATATCAGAGTTTAATTTCTATGGCTTGTTAATGCAAAAGATTTATCCTATATCATGTTAAAATTAAATTAAAGTTATATTGGTATGATAATGACATTGTTGATGGTGAGAATAACTTGGTAGCAACAGAATATTATTTTAAATATCGAAACCAAAAATTAAAAATTTATAAGCAAAATATTTCGGCTGTTTCCGTAGCGACGAAGCTAAAAAGACGACTTCACTGGGGATCGAACCCAGAATCTCTGGTTCCGTAGACCAGCGCCTTATCCATTGGGCCATGAAGTCCTTTGATATCGATGTTTCACATTAGTTAATTGACCTTTTTTCTTTCAAGTTAAGCTGCATCTTTCTTTGCCACCTTTAGCCGCTGTTTGATCGAACCAACTTCTCAGCAACCGCAGCCAAGTATGGTGCACGAAGCCACTAGCACCAATTATCCTATATATTATTATTATTTATTATCTGCCGGCGTTGTTTTCTTCCTACTTTTATAAAGTCGTATCGTAATAATAATAAGAAGAAGAAGAAAAGTGGAGTTTTTTTGGCGCAGAGAAAAAGGGGGCGAATGAATGAATGAGAGCGGTGGGAATATTGGAATCTTAGTTCTTTTTTTATTTTAATTTTTAGCGGTGGAAATTCTTCGTGAATTGCATCTTATTCCATAAATAGGAATAGCATATGGGTAAAGAGCAATCGTTTCGGAGCAAAGCAGCTTACTTTGTTTCTGATTTAGCCACTGTTCTTCTCAACCCTATTTCTGACAACAAATCCCCCTCTATCCCTCTATCCGTAAGTATTCACTCTCTTGTTATTAGTTTTTTCTTCAATTAATTTATTATGTGCTGTGATTTTTAAATGGTGACTATCTTATTGTTATTGAATTCAATTGAATTGATTCTTTGGTAGCAATTTTTGACACGGTTTTGTGAAATTTATATGATCGTTGTGTAGGTAGAAGAAGGAGACGAAGATGATGATGGGTCAAAGGTTGGTAGTCATGATGAAATAATTGATGGGCCTGATACTTCTTCATTCACTGCGTTTCTATATTCTCTGTTGTCTTCTTCGGATTCTGGAGATAACATTGGTGAAGCTGATGAGAAGAATGATGATGGGGTGGCAGATGATGACTCTTCATTACCAGACTCTGCCACGAAGGAAAGTTTTGTTGTGAGGAGAAGTTTGTTTTCCAGGGGCAGGCATTCACTTGGTTGGGCCATTCACCAAGCTTCCAAAATGGGTGGATTTCGCAGCAGGGATAGTAAATACACGGACGAAGGGCGCCGCGGCGTTGAGATGAAGTGCATTGTGAAGGAGCCTGTGGCTGTGGCTGTGGCTGTGGCTGTGGCTGGTCACCATCCGCCTGAAATTTCTGAGCCTTCAATGCTCGTCTCCAATGGGTTGAGGGATGCTGTGTATGCTTCACTTCCGTCGGTTCTTCACGGCCGGAAATGGATGCTGCTGTACAGGTATGAATGTCTAAGGATGAATGTGAAGGCATTTGGAACTCTTCTTGTTGATTGTGCTGTTCTGAGGATAAGTTTGAAACTCTTCGTTTGTGCAGCACTTCGAAGCATGGTATATCACTTTCAACTCTCTATCGGAGAAGCATGCTTTGGCCTGGAGTGAGTTTGCTGGTAAAGTTTCATTGACCTAGGGAAGATTACCAATATTATGCATTGTTTGTGAATTATCTATGTGTGTTCTTCATTTGACATTTTGCCATTAAACAAATTTCTGAATTGAGTGGACTAGTTGAAGTCTGCTTGTACTTTTCTTGATTGATAAAAAAATTAGCGCACGTTGAATTTGAGATAAGTCATGCATTACGGTTACTTTAATTTAAGTTTAGTTCCACTTTAACTGTCAGAATACATATTTTACACACGAACAAGCTGTTTTTGATTAAATTTGGCAGAAGCAGAAAAAAATAACTATTAATTTTGACAACATTTTCTTTTTATTATTGGAACTTGCTGAGCAAATGGATACTAACATATGGTTCTATGGTACCTAAAAAGATTTTTTTTCCCTTTAGAATTTAGCTATACAAATGATAATTAAGTCCATGGATTGATGGATATTACTTTTCAGTGTGACCTGTTTTTTGTTAATAATGAGCAGTATATTGTGTTGGTTCAAGGTGATTTTAACCCTTTTTTGTAGTTTATATTCGTCAGATTGATGATTTGTATGGATGCATGACTGATTTTTAAACTGTTCTGCTAGCCCTGCTTCATTGAAGATCGCAATTTAGTTTGTATATTAAATAAGAAAGTGGGATCTTGTAACTAATAGTATTGTAATAGCATGCAGTAGTTTACCATGACTATGTATTTAATTATAGAGAACACATCTTGAAATTCTTTTATATTACCATGGGTTGGCTTTATCTGATCGGTAAAGGTATATGCATTTTTGTGTCCTTTACTCAGCAAGACTAATTTCTATTCTCTTCATTCTTGAATGGGTTCTCAGTATCAGCTTTTCTGTTCCAGGTTGTTGGAGACCGTAAAGGAGCAGTGTTTGGTGGTGTGGTTGAAGCTCCTCTTAGACCATCTAACAAGAAAAAATACCAGGTCCACCACTCACCTCTTATCTCTACTATCTATGATGTTGGGCATTGGCTGCTTCATTTTGCAACATGTTGATTTTTATTTTTTTTTATCTTGTTGGCATTAAATTTTCCACAGGGAACAAACAATTCATTTGTTTTCACAGACACCTCTGGTTGTCCTGTTATATATCGGCCAACAGGTATTTTTCATCGAGTTTGAGTATGCCATTTCTTTATATTTTGCCATTATGGCTATACTGCACTATGCTTGTTATCAAAACCAATCATTGATTTATGAATGACTTAATCGATAAATGAACATTTTGATTTTTGCAGTAAAATACGGTTTTGCTCCCTCTAAAATTTGGACAACTAACTTTTCGTACCTTTAAAATTGTCGTGCATTTTTTGTTCCTACAAAACTAAAATGTGTTAAATTTGGTGTCCGTTGGTAACTCTGTTAAATGGAGTCTGGCATGTATATCTGTTTGTTTTGGAATTCCGTATGTTTCGTTTCTTCTTACGGATTAACCACAACATTGCAGGAGTAAACCGCTACTTCACACTTTGCTCCACTGACTTCCTAGCAATTGGTGGGGGAGGTCATTTTGCGCTTTATTTAGAGGGTGATCTGTAAGAACCTTGTTCATTCATTATGCTATCTTTTCTACCCTTCTCCCAAACAAATCATTAGCCTTCCCTCTACAGTATCATTGACCTGAATTTTCTTTTATTGTGTTTGTGGGTTACTATTTCTGACATATCTGCTCAAGATTGAACGGATCAAGTTCGGTTTCAGAAACTTACGGGAATCCATGCCTCGCACATTCTCAAGAGTTTGAAGTGAAGGGAGTAGAGGTGGGCATAAAGCTTCTCAACCTACACAAACCCCTCACTCACATTCATCTGACTCCCCTTGTCTGTTTCCCTTAATCTGATTGTTCTAGCTGATTAGTTGCCCACCAAATCCAACTCCATTAGTTTTAGAGATATTTACTCCCAACAAAACAATAAACTCATAACAAAAGCTCTTTCTTTCTTCCATGCAGTTGTGGGGCTTCGTATTTCCTACAAAGTATGAGGAAATGATGGAATTAATCAGAACAGAGGCACCGGGGATCTGTCGCAGCTAAAATATCTCTGGATAAGTATCAATGACTTGGTGCGTGCATTTTATGGAATGCTGATGCTGCTGACTCGTAAACATGACAATAGCAAGGGATGCAAAGTTGATTGATAGACAATACGATGAAGAAATTCCATGTATCCATCCACTCATGTTACCACCTTGTAACGTGCTTGTAAATATTTGCAATGTTGTATATACAGGTTCATACCCATTACAAAATGGCTGATTTTGTGGGGAATAAAATCTAGAGCAAATTTATGCGTTTGCATATTTAAGTAATGCACATGAAGGAAAACGCAGGATAACTTTCGGCTCAAAAGCCTATGAAAGAATAAAAGAAGGTACAAACTGATCAAACTAAAAACATTGTTAAGAACAGTTTTTTTATTTTCTAATAGTTGTTCTGTTTATCAGTTCACCTGATATTTTTAATGTATTATTAAATCAATGTTTTCTGTCTATTGTGTATTCAACCCACCTAAACGAATGAATTAAACGGATTACCCTGATCGGTAATTATGTTTTTTTCTTTATTAACAAAGGATACCAATTAAGATGCTTTAAAATGTTCTAGGATAGCTGCTATAAAGGCTAGTTTATTAAGAAGAAACCTTCCGTTTTTAACAGAAACTTTGATTCCTTTTATCAAAATGATCATCATTATTGAGATGGTTTAATATCAGATTAACGCTACATTTTGTAATGTTTTCTAATGCAAATCTTAAATTGGAATTAAATACATGATTTTGAAACCAAATATATTTACTTCCATCTTTAGTAGCAAGCATCTCCTATAGCGGCTGCTGATATAGATTCCCGATCAATCAAAAACATAAATCCTGCAAAAATAAATTTCTCAAAATTGAAAAAATCAACTAAATTAAAAATGTATTAAAGCATTATTTTTTATAAAAAAAAATAATGTGAACAGTTCCTGGAAATATAAATTAGTTTTAAACAAGCCCTAATGTAGGTAGATGTGGAGTGATTATATGATGTTACCAGTATAGTATCTTTTTCGTCTGTTCTTTAAGGCAACTACAGAGTATACAACATCACTTTTTTTTATGTTCCTTTTTCTTGAACAGCATGAGTCATTGTCCCCACCACCAAAAAAGAAGAAAACATTTGAGAAACCATTCAATTCAAGCCATACATGATGCAATTGCACAAATGGATGACGGGCAAAACGAAATGATACGCGCACTTTCGGTAAATACATCATCACAAACGCATGCGTAACAACCACTTCCATATAGCTTTTCAAAATCAATTTCACACACACTTCACGTGCCTCACAAAAAAAAGTCAAGGGGAAACTATTTTTCTTTTAGACAAATCCACATTCTATTATAAAATCTTTCAAAAAAATATAATAATTCAACTAATAAAACTATAATAGAATTAAATATATTTTTACTTCATAAACTTTGATGAAATTTAAATTTTTTTATATCTTAAATTTAAAACATTTTTGTTTCAAAATTTAATTTTTTTTTAAATATACTGATTTTAATACAAAAATATTTTTTAGTATTTAATATGTTTCGGACTTACATTAACTAAAACTTGTTCGATGATATAAATAGTTCAAACATTATTCTCAAACACTTATTAAGGTATTAAACAAATTTAATATAATTGAATTATAAATATTATATTTATTTATTTTTAAAAATTAATGACTAAATTATATTAAAATTTCGAAAAAAAACAAATTTTAATTTTATTTTAAGAATTACAAATATATTTAACCACTGTAATATCATTAAATAGACTAATGCAATAATAGCAATAATAATTTTATTATTTTTATTATCATAAAAAAATGTTACAAATGTGTCTTTATTCATATATATCTACAATGATATTTGTTTTAACTACATAATAATAATAGTATCTTGGTGTACACATTTTACTATTAATTTTATCAATCTATACAATTATATAAATAATTTCTTATTTTGATATATGCATTTATTTTTCATTTTTATCTTTTAAATAATTACTTTTTTAAAATTAAAATAATTACTTTGTCAATTATATCCTTTAAGTGACATTTTTTACGACTAAGTTTTTTTATTTGAGCATTTTTAAAATTTAACCAGTTTTTATATTGAAATAATTATTTATATTAAAATTGTAAAAATTATTTAAATTTAATAATAATTTTATTATCATGAAAAATGTTAATACAGTGTTTTCACTAGTTTTTATAAATATAATAGATAAAGTTGCATAAATTATAATGTTTATATTTTATTTAATAGATTAAAAGTTAAAAATGATATGGATATCGATTTTTAACTCATTAGACTTAGCAATAGAAGAAGTATTACAAGAAAATGTTAGCATATAATAGAAAAGAAAAAACATCATTAAACAGTTTAATATACTAATATATTGTTTATACTTATTCGGAGTATAAAACTTGTTTTTCTTACCTTTTTGTGGATTAACAAATATTAATTATTAATATGTTAATTATATATATATATATGTTATTAAATTTGATGATCATTGAATTCAAACAATACTTAAAAAAAACCCATGTTAGTGAAATGTAATAAATATGAATCTTTAAGATAATCACTTTAATGATACATAAATTTAACCCTTATACACATATATGTAAAATATTTCTTATGAAATTAAATATAATATGTTTGAATAACACTTTATTGTAAAAAAGAACCTTGTATTTACTATTCACAACTGATATTCTCACTGTTATGATAAAAAAGAAGTGTAATAAGAACAGTTAATATCAAAAGCATTTTCAAATTTTCAGAATTCTTATTTTTACCACTGTTTTTCTTTTTTCCATGGGTTTATTAAGGCCAAAAGCAAAAGCGCTGCAAATGTGCTGAAAATTCGTTCATTGAAACAGTGATGGTTGCGCAACGACGTCGTTCTGTTGCAGGCGTGGGTAGGGTGGTGGTTTACGGCGTTACTTGGAGTCTGTGATAGGCATGTGCATCTATATCATATCGACACTCAGTCACCGTCAAATCGAATCGGAGAATTGAAATCAGCAGAGGAATCAGAATCAAAGCCCCGAATGGCGCCGCCGCCACCACCCAAATCAAGAGGGGCTACTCAGGTAAGCAGCAATGCTTCCAGGATTCAGTTCTTTTCCCTTCTCCTCGCTCTGCAATACGGCGCTCAACCTTTGATCTCCAAACGCTTTGTCAGGTTTTTCTTTTCACACCACTTTTCACCTTCACCGTTTCAATTCTATACTTTCCTCTTTTCTTCTTGTTTGCGCGACCATTTTCATCTCCTTTGAAGTAAAATAAAAGTTCTGCAACTTGAATTTAGTCGCCAATTTTTCTATTACTACAAAATAGTCGTTACTTTAGTTATCGGAGTTAATAATATTTCCGGTCTGATCTATGCTGTGGCTGTTGTAGTAAGAGTGGTTAGAATTTAGAATTTAGTAGTAGTGCGGGGTGGATTAGGAATCCTAATCCTAATTTGACTTAATTGAACAAACTATTTTTTTTTAACTGTATAAAAATCGGGAATGGTGGAACTTTGGAGGGTATGCAATCCCGCTGGAAAAGATTAAGAGTCTTTAAAGAGTGGAAGTCCAGTTGATCGAGTATAATGTATGAAAAAATTGTATGAATCATTTGAGAAATCAGCAGTTGAATGTATCTTTTCCTTTTTTGTGTTGATGCTTGGGCATATGGGATTTGATGGTCTACGTAGTTTGGTGCATGGCTTTATCTGCAAGTGGGGATTCTAGTGAACCATTTAGAATTGGCTGCATTTTTTCACCTTGTTTCGCTTGTCATACTAAATTTACATAATTGAAGACAGCCATTTATAAAATTATGAAGTTGTTAAAATTCCTAACTGTTGATTTCTAATTAACGGCCATAATGACACTTATCCTCTGAAGTGCATTTTCCTCACTTTGGAGGAGCTAAATACATCCTTGTTCATTATTTTAGAGTCTGATAATGTTACAACTATTTGTCGGTTGCCCATGCAGTTATTCTTGCTCTAAATAGCATATAGTGTTACATGATGTTTTAAGCATAGCCCACGTATCTTTGTCATGTGCATGTAGTCTAGAAAATATGAGAACAAAATTGGGCTGTTTTTCCATCTATTTTTTTAATATTTGTATTTACATAATTTTCCTTGTGCATGATTCCTGTGCCAGCAAATGTGCTTTCTGTTTTACTTAGTGGATACAAGGATGCAAATAAATTCAGTAAAAAGAGGGATACGTCAGAGTTTGTTTATAACATGAAAAATTGATGATCAACACAAACATAAACTATAACACGATCACTTGAACTCAAAATGTAAGCATTTATGCATGGTTATTCCTAGTGAAAATCCTATAATCAAAATTAAAAAGAGGCACAGACGTTTCAAAACTCACCGTTAGTCATTATCCACTATCTTATTAGGGCCCCTAAGGGTCCTGCTAATTAGGGCCCCTAAGGGCATTGTTTAAACAATTAAAAGGAGAAAATTCTTATTGAAAATCACATGGGAAAATCACAGAAAAGTGCATTTCTCTGCATCCCAATTAAAAAAAATCCCCCTTTTAATTCCTTAACCAATGGGAAACTGGTTAGCATTTGCCTTCTATCCCAATTCCATTCCATCCAGACGGCACAAATAATTAAAATGGAAAAAATGCATATCCAAGATGGCATATCTGATTTGTGTATCGGGCCTGGATATGATGTTAACACCAGTATTGTTTGGTAATCATCATAATATTAATTGTGATTTGCCGAAATTAAAATTTAACATTTTTGAAGGCATTCATTTCCTTGGGCATCAAACCATTAATTGTGAATGACCATGTGAAGCATGTCTTATAACCTATTTTCCTCTTCCTGCAGACGTGAGGTTATTGTGACTTCATCTGTTTTGATATGTGAGCTAGCAAAGGTAAATCTTGAACTGTTCTACATAGTTTTGGCATTGGTTATTGTAAAACCTGTACTATAACCTACTTTTATTGACAGTCATCCATCTCTGTGATCTGCCTTTTAGGTTTTATGTGCATTGTTTATCATGGCAAAAGATGGTACTCTAAGGAAAGCGTATAAAGAATGNAACTTCTCAGCAACCGCAGCCAAGTATGGTGCACGAAGCCACTAGCACCAATTATCCTATATATTATTATTATTTATTATCTGCCGGCGTTGTTTTCTTACTACTTTTATAAAGTCGTATCGTAATAATAATAAGAAGAAGAAGAAAAGTGGAGTTTTTTTGGCGCAGAGAAAAAGGGGGCGAATGAATGAATGAGAGCGGTGGGAATATTGGAATCTTAGTTCTTTTTTTATTTTAATTTTTAGCGGTGGAAATTCTTCGTGAATTGCATCTTATTCCATAAATAGGAATAGCATATGGGTAAAGAGCAATCGTTTCGGAGCAAAGCAGCTTACTTTGTTTCTGATTTAGCCACTGTTCTTCTCAACCCTATTTCTGACAACAAATCCCCCTCTATCCCTCTATCCGTAAGTATTCACTCTCTTGTTATTAGTTTTTTCTTCAATTAATTTATTATGTGCTGTGATTTTTAAATGGTGACTATCTTATTGTTATTGAATTCAATTGAATTGATTCTTTGGTAGCAATTTTTGACACGGTTTTGTGAAATTTATATGATCGTTGTGTAGGTAGAAGAAGGAGACGAAGATGATGATGGGTCAAAGGTTGGTAGTCATGATGAAATAATTGATGGGCCTGATACTTCTTCATTCACTGCGTTTCTATATTCTCTGTTGTCTTCTTCGGATTCTGGAGATAACATTGGTGAAGCTGATGAGAAGAATGATGATGGGGTGGCAGATGATGACTCTTCATTACCAGACTCTGCCACGAAGGAAAGTTTTGTTGTGAGGAGAAGTTTGTTTTCCAGGGGCAGGCATTCACTTGGTTGGGCCATTCACCAAGCTTCCAAAATGGGTGGATTTCGCAGCAGGGATAGTAAATACACGGACGAAGGGCGCCGCGGCGTTGAGATGAAGTGCATTGTGAAGGAGCCTGTGGCTGTGGCTGTGGCTGTGGCTGTGGCTGGTCACCATCCGCCTGAAATTTCTGAGCCTTCAATGCTCGTCTCCAATGGGTTGAGGGATGCTGTGTATGCTTCACTTCCGTCGGTTCTTCACGGCCGGAAATGGATGCTGCTGTACAGGTATGAATGTCTAAGGATGAATGTGAAGGCATTTGGAACTCTTCTTGTTGATTGTGCTGTTCTGAGGATAAGTTTGAAACTCTTCTTGTTGATTAATGTTTGTGCAGCACTTCGAAGCATGGTATATCACTTTCAACTCTCTATCGGAGAAGCATGCTTTGGCCTGGAGTGAGTTTGCTGGTAAAGTTTCATTGACCTAGGGAAGATTACCAATATTATGCATTGTTTGTGAATTATCTATGTGTGTTCTTCATTTGACATTTTGCCATTAAACAAATTTCTGAATTGAGTGGACTAGTTGAAGTCTGCTTGTACTTTTCTTGATTGATAAAAAAATTAGCGCACGTTGAATTTGAGATAAGTCATGCATTACGGTTACTTTAATTTAAGTTTAGTTCCACTTTAACTGTCAGAATACATATTTTACACACGAACAAGCTGTTTTTGATTAAATTTGGCAGAAGCAGAAAAAAATAACTATTAATTTTGACAACATTTTCTTTATATTATTGGAACTTGCTGAGCAAATGGATACTAACATATGGTTCTATGGTACCTAAAAAGATTTTTTTTCCCTTTAGAATTTAGCTATACAAATGATAATTAAGTCCATGGATTGATGGATATTACTTTTCAGTGTGACCTGTTTTTTGTTAATAATGAGCAGTATATTGTGTTGGTTCAAGGTGATTTTAACCCTTTTTTGTAGTTTATATTCGTCAGATTGATGATTTGTATGGATGCATGACTGATTTTTAAACTGTTCTGCTAGCCCTGCTTCATTGAAGATCGCAATTTAGTTTGTATATAAAATAAGAAAGTGGGATCTTGTAACTAATAGTATTGTAATAGCATGCAGTAGTTTACCATGACTATGTATTTAATTATAGAGAACACATCTTGAAATTCTTTTATATTACCATGGGTTGGCTTTATCTGATCGGTAAAGGTATATGCATTTTTGTGTCCTTTACTCAGCAAGACTAATTTCTATTCTCTTCATTCTTGAATGGGTTCTCAGTATCAGCTTTTCTGTTCCAGGTTGTTGGAGACCGTAAAGGAGCAGTGTTTGGTGGTGTGGTTGAAGCTCCTCTTAGACCATCTAACAAGAAAAAATACCAGGTCCACCACTCACCTCTTATCTCTACTATCTATGATGTTGGGCATTGGCTGCTTCATTTTGCAACATGTTGATTTTTATTTTTTTTTATCTTGTTGGCATTAAATTTTCCACAGGGAACAAACAATTCATTTGTTTTCACAGACACCTCTGGTTGTCCTGTTATATATCGGCCAACAGGTATTTTTCATCGAGTTTGAGTATGCCATTTCTTTATATTTTGCCATTATGGCTATACTGCACTATGCTTGTTATCAAAACCAATCATTGATTTATGAATGACTTAATCGATAAATGAACATTTTGATTTTTGCAGTAAAATACGGTTTTGCTCCCTCTAAAATTTGGACAACTAACTTTTCGTACCTTTAAAATTGTCGTGCATTTTTTGTTCCTACAAAACTAAAATGTGTTAAATTTGGTGTCCGTTGGTAACTCTGTTAAATGGAGTCTGGCATGTATATCTGTTTGTTTTGGAATTCCGTATGTTTCGTTTCTTCTTACGGATTAACCACAACATTGCAGGAGTAAACCGCTACTTCACACTTTGCTCCACTGACTTACTAGCAATTGGTGGGGGAGGTCATTTTGCGCTTTATTTAGAGGGTGATCTGTAAGAACCTTGTTCATTCATTATGCTATCTTTTCTACCCTTCTCCCAAACAAATCATTAGCCTTCCCTCTACAGTATCATTGACCTGAATTTTCTTTTATTGTGTTTGTGGGTTACTATTTCTGACATATCTGCTCAAGATTGAACGGATCAAGTTCGGTTTCAGAAACTTAAGGGAATCCATGCATCGCACATTCTCAAGAGTTTGAAGTGAAGGGAGTAGAGGTGGGCATAAAGCTTCTCAACCTACACAAACCCCTCACTCACATTCATCTGACTCCCCTTGTCTGTTTCCCTTAATCTGATTGTTCTAGCTGATTAGTTGCCCACCAAATCCAACTCCATTAGTTTTAGAGATATTTACTCCCAACAAAACAATAAACTCATAACAAAAGCTCTTTCTTTCTTCCATGCAGTTGTGGGGCTTCGTATTTCCTACAAAGTATGAGGAAATGATGGAATTAATCAGAACAGAGGCACCGGGGATCTGTCGCAGCTAAAATATCTCTGGATAAGTATCAATGACTTGGTGCGTGCATTTTATGGAATGCTGATGCTGCTGACTCGTAAACATGACAATAGCAAGGGATGCAAAGTTGATTGATAGACAATACGATGAAGAAATTCCATGTATCCATCCACTCATGTTACCACCTTGTAACGTGCTTGTAAATATTTGCAATGTTGTATATACAGGTTCATACCCATTACAAAATGGCTGATTTTGTGGGGAATAAAATCTAGAGCAAATTTATGCGTTTGCATATTTAAGTAATGCACATGAAGGAAAACGCAGGATAACTTTCGGCTCAAAAGCCTATGAAAGAATAAAAGAAGGTACAAACTGATCAAACTAAAAACATTGTTAAGAACAGTTTTTTTATTTTCTAATAGTTGTTCTGTTTATCAGTTCACCTGATATTTTTAATGTATTATTAAATCAATGTTTTCTGTCTATTGTGTATTCAACCCACCTAAACGAATGAATTAAACGGATTACCCTGATCGGTAATTATGTTTTTTTCTTTATTAACAAAGGATACCAATTAAGATGCTTTAAAATGTTCTAGGATAGCTGCTATAAAGGCTAGTTTATTAAGAAGAAACCTTCCGTTTTTAACAGAAACTTTGATTCCTTTTATCAAAATGATAATCATTATTGAGATGGTTTAATATCAGATTAACGCTACATTTTGTAATGTTTTCTAATGCAAATCTTAAATTGGAATTAAATACATGATTTTGAAACCAAATATATTTACTTCCATCTTTAGTAGCAAGCATCTCCTATAGCGGCTGCTGATATAGATTCCCGATCAATCAAAAACATAAATCCTGCAAAAATAAATTTCTCAAAATTGAAAAAATCAACTAAATTAAAAATGTATTAAAGCATTATTTTTTATAAAAAAAAATAATGTGAACAGTTCCTGGAAATATAAATTAGTTTTAAACAAGCCCTAATGTAGGTAGATGTGGAGTGATTATATGATGTTACCAGTATAGTATCTTTTTCGTCTGTTCTTTAAGGCAACTACAGAGTATACAACATCACTTTTTTTTATGTTCCTTTTTCTTGAACAGCATGAGTCATTGTCCCCACCACCAAAAAAGAAGAAAACATTTGAGAAACCATTCAATTCAAGCCATACATGATGCAATTGCACAAATGGATGACGGGCAAAACGAAATGATACGCGCACTTTCGGTAAATACATCATCACAAACGCATGCGTAACAACCACTTCCATATAGCTTTTCAAAATCAATTTCACACACACTTCACGTGCCTCACAAAAAGAAGTCAAGGGGAAACTATTTTTCTTTTAGACAAATCCACATTCTATTATAAAATCTTTCAAAAAAATATAATAATTCAACTAATAAAACTATAATAGAATTAAATATATTTTTACTTCATAAACTTTGATGAAATTTAAATTTTTTTATATCTTAAATTTAAAACATTTTTGTTTCAAAATTTAATTTTTTTTTAAATATACTGATTTTAATACAAAAATATTTTTTAGTATTTAATATGTTTCGGACTTACATTAACTAAAACTTGTTCGATGATATAAATAGTTCAAACATTATTCTCAAACACTTATTAAGGTATTAAACAAATTTAATATAATTGAATTATAAATATTATATTTATTTATTTTTAAAAAATAATGACTAAATTATATTAAAATTTCGAAAAAAAACAAATTTTAATTTTA